GCTTAACTTCTTTGTGCTCATTGTCATGAGGGAAATCATTCATGTTCAAGCAGGCCAGTGTGGCAACCAGATTGGCTCAAAGGTAGGAATGTCGGCACGTCAAATTTTCATTTCACTTATAGTTTTTATATACTCGCGAGCGCAAACGTATCCTCTGAGCTTAAAAACTTTAAGTCATAAAAATATGAGTATTCGGATTGTGAATACTGACAAACTGAAATTATTTGCAATGTTTGAAGGTACGATTTATCTCTGTGAATTACCTCATATGCTTATTTAGTTCGATTAAATATGACAAGTTTATGGTTCAATCAGTGAAGATTAAAAGATTTTTAATAAACTTTTAGATTTATGACTTTTGTTATGTTAAAAAAGTGGAACATTATTACAGCTTGAGAAAAAACACAGATGGTCGACTTCTTTTGATTTAAAATCGGTTCTAATAAAACAATCATACATTTCTCTCTTGTTTGATCACAAATTACAACCTTGTGGTAATTGGTGGAGATAAGGAAGAGATAAGTTCGGGTGATAATTAGGGGAGCTAAAGATGAGATCATTTTGGGATTCGGGAGTCTGGTTTCTGCTAAACTGGAACCGTTTTTAAAAATTCAGAAGAATTCGTCGTTTTTGCTTTTCTTCAAATTGTACGCATGTTCTTTTCTAATTTTTTGAATGACATTCATTTATTTACATACGTTATTAAACCTGTTAAAATATCATGACTTGTGCATTTTAAACAACTAAAGCTGTTGTATAATTTATGCGAGATTACTCGCTATTTAAAGACGTTATTAGCTAGTTAACTCTCCTATTCTCAGTTATCTTTCATATGTTTGTTATCATACTCGTAGGCTTTTCAAATCCAGTTGTAACTGTACGGAATCCCTAGGTAACAACAAGGTTTGGTTTTCAGGCTCTAGTTTTTCCTCCGTTATCTTTTCGAGATTAAGCCATACTTTTGCAACTCGAGGCTTTTACAGATTTCTTAAAGCATTGATTTTTTCTTTACTAGTTACGAAAGGCGGTGATAAAAATTTATTAGCATTGTTTCAATGACAAGCATATACAGGTAACAGTAAAGATAAAGCAGATTTTCGAACTTTGAAATCTTTCTTAAGTACTTGCTACTTTTTAAATAAAAGCTTTGTAAGGATTCTCCTTAACAATTATAATATAATAGCTACAAGTACACATTGAATTAATTTCTTTAGACTCTCAAAGGTCTTCGTTGAACTTAGCTGAAAGAATCACGTTAAATCTAGTTGTCCTTTATTGTTTGTTTGAAGTTAAGCACAAAGCTACACAATGGGCTATCTGTGCTCTGCCCACCACAGGTATCGAAACCTAGTTTCTAGCGTTGTAAGTCCGCAGACATACCGCTGTGCCACTGGGGGGGGGGCAATTGTCCTTTATCTATACGTTTTTATCAATTTTGTAGCCTTTTTCAACTGGAAGCTAAAGATCTCTAGAAAATGGCTATAAAACTGATTAAAACATATAGCTAAAGGACAACATACAGGTACGTACAATAATCTCATAGAAATCAATGTTTGTCTTAAATAGGCCTATTATATATACTAACATGCATGCTATTATTCAAAACTTTAAAGATAAGTTAAGGGCTAAAATAATTCATTTTAATTGTTAACGATCGTTTAACTAATTGCTAGAGAAGATTGAGAAATAATATATAGAATTCGTAGATGCATCCGTATTTCTTCTCGTTCACTTTAAACAAGTAAAAAACTTTATTTAACTTATCACACACAAAAAACATAATCGCATTTAGATTCAAAACATCCTTGAAAATAAATCATGTTTCAACTCTAGTGGCAGGTGCTAAATAATTAACTGTGTCAATAAGCGCTATATTGAGCTCAGATCGTGTATAAAAGTTTTATTGATTCAGAACATTCATGAGACACCCGTAAAATATCCTCATATTGAAGCACATGTCATGTTGTTGTTCACGTGTAATAACACCTCATCCATCATTTATAAAAATTCTCTGATAACAACATTCTCTGACTCATATTGTTACTATTGTTTTATTATTGTTTTCTTCTTTTGCTTTCGTCATAGTTTTGGGGAGTGATATCAGATGAACACGGTATTGATCCAAGTGGGGTTTATAAAGGTGACTCTGATCTTCAGCTTGAAAGAATAGATGTCTATTACAATGAAGCATCAGGTGATTTATCTAAATAAACTTAAAGAACACTTTAGACTAAAATCTACATTTTTGGTTGGGATTTTAAATAATAGTTGTTGCAATAACAAGATATGTTGAATATTATTTTTAATACACAAGTTCCTTTTTACCTATGGTTAAACTCGAGTAACAATTTGTAAATAGTATTACATAGATTTGTAATTCAATAAAGTTTTCATATGGGTAACCATAATATTAGAAATAATATATTTGACATTATGTTTCACAATATATATGCATATATAATGATTTCATTAGGCCTAATATTCGAAATCACTATACACTGCAGATTTAGTTTTCTTCATATTATTAAATTTGTTAATTTCTTTATTAAAATTTAGGAGTATAAAGATAGCGTTTCAAATCTATCTTTTGTCTACTACAAATCAGGGCCCAAGTTGCTGTTCACTCAACAACCAAAAGCCAAATAGGTATTGTAATGCACATATAAATAGCGTTTCAGATAGACTTCTGTATCTCATCTTTATCCCAACCAGCGAATTTATTATTGGATGAAAGGGTCCCTGGGAACTGACTTGTAGCAGAAAACGAGATACGTTTGAAATGCCATTTTTATTCATCTTTGATTTGAAATACGCAAAGAATAAACTAAGAGAGATCTGAGAAAAGAAATCATCTGACATTTAACATGAAATTATATCATGAATATTATTCTTATTCGTTTCCATCGCTTCTCCAACTTTCAGCGTTCAAGCCCTAACCTGAAGAACCATGGTATTGAGCGAAAGTCCTGATCGGCACCGGATATAGTAGATATAGCGTGGTTGACATATTAGTTTATATTATGCTTTACTTCCACTCAGAAGTTCTTATTAATATTTTGATGAATACATTATAATCTATATTTCAATATTATATATTTCTATTGATAAATGAGCAGTAACAAATTAAAAACTATACTTCATAATGTTAATGGCTCATTATTAATTTGTTATTAAATTTGTTATTTAAATTTTATTTGTTTGTTGTTAAACAGTAAGCTACACAATAGGCTATTTATGATGTGCCCACCATGATTATTGAAACCAGGAGTTTAGCGTAATAAACCTTCAGACCTGCTGCTGAACCATTGGAGGGCATTATTTGAACCTAAGACCGTTAAACGATATTCACTTTTTGAGCATGCGTAAAAGCGGTAATTGCATAGTGTTTTAAACCAGCCAAAGTGTAATAGTACATGTAACTAAAATTTGAAACCATTTCTAAAGCAGGTGGTTTTTAATCTTTGACCAGGAGGAAAGTACGTTCCTCGAGCTATCCTAGTGGACCTGGAACCTGGAACTATGGACTCAGTCCGGTCTGGCCAGTTTGGACAGCTGTTCAGACCTGACAACTTTATCTTTGGTAAGTAGGTCATTTATATTTATTTATCATTTTAGCAATGAATGTATTTATTGAAATAATTTTACATAAATTCTTATCAAGTGGTTATAAAAAAACTGAATTTACATTCACAGACTGAAGGATTGTTTTTATTTTATTAAGCGACACTTTCACAATCGCAGATAATGCTAAAGTTCTTTATTGGATATTTGTATTTTTGTTTCGATATTTAAAACTCAATTCTTATTTTTGCGTTAGTTATAAGTGTTTGAAGTACATCATACAAACAATAATCAAAGCAACTAAGTTACCAAAACGATTACTTCTCCGAAAAGGGGCCGAAGGTCGCCTGAAGGGGTTACCTGTTTTAACCAATCGCGCCACTATACAGTAAAGTTTTGTCTGTCAGTCAGTCAGTAAACACCAAAATGATGCCATATAAGTGATGTCTAACGTTGCAATTTGTACTGTCGTGACATCAGTAAAACGTGCGTATGCCACGAATCACGAGATGAATTATGACTTTGTAGGATACAACACAGCATGACATATGAACTTCAAAAGCAAGAAATAAAAATATTTGTTATTTTAATTTTGATTTTATTTACTCTTGAAACAGAACACTTTTGGGGACCCTGCGCAAGTACATCTAGTATATTGCTTTTTCTTTCTGCTGTTTAGTTCTTGAAAAGTGCGTTAAACTAAGCAGGAATAATTATATCTAATTTATCAAATAGTTTACTTTTTACTGCTATCAAACCTATAGATTGCATAACAAAACAAAACGTATCAAGTTTGTTAGACTGATGGACAAAAGCTCTAATGTATAAAAATATTTAACATTTAAATGCACGTTTACAGGTCAAAGTGGAGCCGGTAATAACTGGGCTAAAGGGCACTACACAGAAGGAGCAGAACTAGTAGACATGGTAATGGATGTCATGAGAAAAGAAGCAGAAAGTTCTGATTGTTTGCAAGGTTTTCAACTGACCCACTCTCTAGGTGGCGGTACTGGTTCCGGCATGGGAACTCTGCTTGTTTCTAAAGTTAGAGAAGAATATCCAGACCGTATCATGGCCACCTTTTCCGTTTTCCCATCTCCAAAAGTAAGTAGAGTTCAAAGAGAATCTGAAAGTAAATTGGTGATTATTTCGTATTGTTCTATGATTTTGAGGGATTTTTATTTTTTCATGAGTATGAACTGTAGCCAGTGAACAAGTGTTTGAACTTATGATCGGCTTTTATTGCAGTTTACTTATTTTACTAAAGTAATAAATAAATATATTCAAGAATTTTTTTTTCTGAATTGAGAAGTGTAAATACGGACTATTGGAAGGCTCTGGTAAGAAGGCCGAAAGCTCGCAAATAAAAGTATTTTAACGTAGAGAAAAGTCCGTGTATAATTCTACATATCAGAATAAGAGTATAAATTCCAGATAAATAGCTTATTATTACTCATTGTTAATTATATTTAACTGGCACTTGCGATTTCATTAACCCGTAGAACTACCGATGGGGTCTAAACAAATCGTTTTTTAAAACATTTTAAAACTATTTATACACCGAATTCCTTAGGTGTCTTTGATTTTGTTGATTACACCATATCTAATAACGTATGTATGATTCATGCAAAAAATTGAAACAAAATACCGTTAATATTGCAATTAATCTCAATGATTACTGTTAGGGTTCCCAATGTATTTTACATACTTAATGTGGTGTAATATACGGTTCTCATTAGTAGTAAACAGTATATAAACAAGTAGGCATTTTGAGGATTAATACTACTAATAATAATCATTTTAATAAGGTTTGCGTAATACGTGTAACCTATTGTCTAACTTCAGAATTCAAATTCAAAGTCAAATCATTAGTGCAACTTGCAACAACTGTTTCACAGTCACAAAAGTGCACCTCATTCAAGTGTTCGATATAAAATAGGTCTACATTGTCTATACTCAAAATCAGGTGTTTTGTAGGCCAACCATTCGAAGCAGTTACATTTCTGAAATGCTTAAGGAAATGGTCCACATCTTCCTTGGCTGCATCCTTGAATGCTGGGGCAATGTCCATTTTGCTTCGTTCATGAGACCCCTTGGTCGTGACCACAATATTTTTCTATAAAACTCTTGATTTTCACCTGATTGAGATCTCATCGAAATTAGGGGTACAAAATATTAGATAAGCTCAGGGACTCCTAATATCGTAAGAGTAGTTGTCCGCGATCCAGAGCCGCAGAGCAGAAAGTTGCTATCAACACTTATTCATTGACTCTACATAACCCCAACTCCCCTGAGATCCCACTATCTCATCTGCGACTGAAATGACTCATGTTGTTCACCAGTATCTTCTGAACATATTTGGGTGGGTTCAACCAGAACTGGGTCTAAATTACTCAGGCTTGGGAAGGTCTGGGAGTCCAATACAGATCACTCTATTTATCATTAGACTCACAAGATACGAAATCACCATTACAACCTTTATTCATCTGTGTTTTTCTCACATGGAGGTCGATGCTCCATATAATAGTGTGAAGGGTCATTTTGGGTATACCAGACATTGGTAGCTCTCCTTCCTGTGTCGCTGAAGCGAAAAGGAAGTTATAGATCTTCATATCGTCAGCAAAATTCATATGTCCAGGAGAAGACTTCTCCTAGACTGGAAAAGTCTCAGACAGTCACCTTCTTTCAGTGAATAACTCTTCCTCTTGACCTTAAGTCCTTTGAGTTGTGTAATATTCCATTTTCTCAAGAAAAAAACCTGTTTAAGCTTAATAGCTCAAGAGTAGGAGTGAATGGCAGTATGTACATCTGAAGAAAATAGAAATTCTGGAATAATGTATTTTGTGGTCATTATACCAAGATTTTCTCCTTCATATCCACACTGTAGTGTTTATTGGTCGAATTAATTTACTTAGTGTGTCGAGATAGGTTCACAGAATAAAGGGGTATTCAAACAATATATTGATTGTGAAGTAATGCAGACTTCTCTTGTAACAGTATTTATGAGAAGGAAATAAAACTACTTAACACATTTGTACAAAAATACATTGAATAATCATTATTAATTACAAATACAAATACAGTTTGTGTATATATGTGATACGAAAGATGGTCACTTTTATTAGAACAACACTACTCTCTGTCTAAAATATCTTAGGTGAGATCCTGTTCCAGGATGACTGAACCTTATGCTACTTAGTTAAATGTTTTTTTCTTTACCATAGTTTGTTATAAGTTAAGCACAAAACTACATAATGGGCTATCTGTACTCTGCCCACCACGAGTATCGAAACCAGGTTTCTAGCGTTGTAATTCCGCAGACATACCGCTGTGCCACTTGGGGGCTAGTTAAATGGTAACAATCAAATTTACCTTTAGCAACGCGTCCTACCCAAGTGACTATTCATTCTCACACAAACATAAGGGAGGTTGTAACCTGAGACATCACCTGACATACCACCAGAGGACACTGCTGTCGACATTTTTGCACAAGGGGCAATTTATAGCCATACTTTCCAAAGGCAAACCAAGTGTTATCTCAAAGGAATGACAAAGAACAAAGGTAAATAGCTAGAACAAAAGCAACGTAACAACTTGACGATATGTTATGTGAAAAAAATGTAAATGCACAAATAGAGAATAACTGACTAATTTTGGAAACATCTACGTTACCCAAGAATGTAGATAACATGATATGCCTACATACCAAACACACATAACATGTAAATAAGTCGTAAAATATATGATTTTATAAGTAGGTTCGGATGAATATAATTTATTTGAAACATTGACTCTTTGTCTTACGGCGATTACTTATGTTTTTAAATCCGAGAATATTACATAGAAGAACGCAAAGTTTGCCTAGTTCTCCCCTAATGAAGAAAGGTTGCCTTTTCGAAAGCGTTCGGGTTATAGGTTGTTGTTTTATCTTTAGTTGATTTTTGAATCTATGTGTTTTCGTAACATCATGAAGTAATTGCGGTAGAAATTATATTATTATGCAGCAATTTTTAATTTTCAGGTATCTGAGACTGTAGTTGAACCATACAATGCCACATTATCTGTGCATCAGTTGGTAGAAAACACAGATCAAACTTTCTGTATTGATAACGAGGCTCTGTACGAAATCTGCTTTCGTACCCTCAAACTCAGAAATCCCTCTTATGGTGATCTGAACCACTTAGTGTCAGCCTCTATGTCCGGTGTAACCACATGTCTTCGGTTTCCTGGTCAGTTGAACGCTGACCTTCGCAAGCTTGCTGTTAATATGGTGCCCTTTCCACGCCTTCATTTCTTTATGCCTGGATTTGCTCCACTCACTTCCAGAGGGAGCCAGCAGTACCGAGCTGTTACAGTCCCGGAAATGACTCAACAGGTGAAATGATTATGATTATTTCTTTAAAACATACTTGTATACCGGTGAAATAACGAGCTACCTGTCATGAAAGAGATTGATTTACATTAAAGTTTAATTGTTATTGACTCTTTCGTCAGATTAATTAAATTGAACCCACCAGACAAACTATTTCCATAACTTTAAACTATCCAACAACTACAGTGTATATGTTACGTTATGACAAAGTTTCTTCGCAACCTTAGAACATTTTCTCATATGCACATTTTTTGTTAACACCTATATCCAGCGTGTAACCGCTTTTACGAAACCAAAATTCATATTAGTTTTACTTTATAATAATGAAAAAATAGAATGTGAAACAAAACGTTAACGTGTCAAAGTTTCGTAAAACAGGGTTAAGACCGTTGGTGCATCTCGGAATTATTTTTTAAAACATAATTATATTCTGACTGCAAAAAGTAACGCTGAAGCTTCAGATGCCCCAATTAACGAAACCGGTTGAATATGTTGCTACAAAGCGTCAAATCTGGCGTAACTGACTGGGTTATTCTTTCACGACGTTTCGGTCAGTTATTATTGATCATATTTAATATTCTACACTGTTCTGATTATCTTGAGTAAGATATATATATCTTGTTCGTGAAATTATAACGAAAATAACACTCTCAAATGTTTGACATGTAAGTATAGAGCAATTATGTGATTTTAGTGATCTAATCGCTTTTGGTTTACTGACCCATTATATTAGTTGTACATCACGCTTGCAGTGTAGATTTAGAGGTATAATAATACTTATTTATGTATATGTTTGCAAAACAAAAAATCATTATGTATCATCTAGAAAACTTTTGTATATCATTTTTATTCGAAAATATTAGACAGCATAGAATACCCTTTAATAATTTTTTGTTTCCTTGAAAAATGAAACATTACGAGGTACACTTATTTTAGATGTTCGATGCCAAGAACATGATGGCGGCTTGTGACCCTCGGCATGGACGGTACCTGACAGTTGCTGCCATCTTTAGGGGAAGAATGAGCATGAAAGAAATAGACGAACAACTTCTAAACGTTCAGAATAAAAATAGCAGGTTTGGCATTTCCTGTAGTCAAGTATATGTGAAAGTTCTGGTCACTGTAATTTGGTACGTTGACTGTTGAAACAGCTATTGAACAGTGTGTGTATCTAAAATATGAACAATTATATGTTTTTTTTTGTAAAAAATAAACATTGTTGGTGGTATACATTGTAATATGAAACACACTGCTCACAAACTTTATACACCATGAAATATGGTGTTTGCTTTTGATTGAATTAAAGCGGTTTTTCTTTTGCTTAAGCTATTTCGTTGAGTGGATTCCTAACAATGTTAAGCTGGCTGTTTGTGATATCCCACCTCGTGGCCTCAAGATGGCGGCTACCTTCATTGGAAACACCACAGCTATTCAAGAAATCTTCAAGAGAATAGCAGAACAATTCACAGGTAATATTTTATATGTGCATTCTTTGATTTATAAGATATATGTGAATAACATTGCATTTTTTGGTAGTTTTTTAAAAAATCTTGACACATTTGTAATTTACTGATTACTTTTGTTTTTAACTAAATCCAAAAAAGCCCTCAATTGGCACAGCGGTATGTCTGTGGACTTATACCGCTAGAAACCGGGTTTCGATACCCGTGGTGGGCAGAGCACAGATAGCCCTTTGTGTAGCTTTGTGCTTAATAATAAACAACAACAACAAACAACAAATCCAAAAAAAAAGGTTACTTGTATTCGCATTTCTTCTTATTTACTTTGTTATAAATATCATATCTAAATAAACATAAGATGAAGATCAAAAATGTATATCTTATGAGATGCAATTTTGTAAACAGGATGAGAAATTTACAAGCAGAAATAAAATTAGAGAATATTGGAATATGAATGAAGTGGCTGTTACCTGATTGGAATTCTCAACTGTGTTCCTAGAATATCTCTTGGTGTCTACGAATGGGAAAACATGTATATAATACAGTGATAACAAAAATTTTCCCCCGTTCTTGAAGTTTGTGAACCTGCAAAATCCCATCAATTTATTTTTGCATGACACGTTAAAGCCTATTCTTTGTAACTAAATAGTTTTACTTGGTAACATATTACATAGTCTCTATTTAAGAAAAACACTTTCTACATCATGTTTATTTTATTCTAAGAATTTTAATTATCCACTTGCTATTATTAAAGTGTTTTTAACTGATTATTCTAAGACAGGCTATATAAATTAGATTTCAGAGCTTTTAAATTATAATGATATTGTGAAGTCGCTTAGAAGGAAAATATATTCAGTGAAAGACACGTTTTCGGGAAGAGGATATTCTTTAGGTTCACTCTGCAAGGCTAAAAAGAAGCTAAAAATAATTATGAATAGTCCTATAAATATAGCGAAAAACCACCATGAATAATCTAACATATCATTGAAGCGAAACGCAGAGAATAATAAAAAATAGGTTTCTTTTTTTCAGAGTCAAATTATTTATTGATTATATGTATATTTTTCATCTTATATTTAGTTCAGAATACAATGTTGCTATTTTTTGTCTTCTTTAGCCATGTATCGTCGCAGGGCTTTCTTGCATTGGTACACAGGGGAAGGGATGGACGAGATGGAGTTTACTGAGGCTGAGTCTAACATGAATGACCTAGTATCTGAATACCAACAATATCAAGAGGCTTCTATTGATGATGATTCCGACTTTGATAACGATGATGATGAGATTTTAATGGAAGACGTCCCGGGTGTTCCTCAACCTTTACAGGAGATCAGTCAACCCCAGCGTGGATATGCAAATTGAACACTATATAACGTTTCTCCTATAAAAGTAAAGCGAAACAGGTTGATTGTGTGTATAAAAATAATTATCTATTTTAAATCATTATCAATGAATTTTAAAATCAAGACCCAAAAACTCGAACACTTTTGAATATTTGACTCTGCTGAAGAAGAATAGTCAACTATTCGAAAGCGCTAGAGTTTTGGGTCTTTTTTTTAAATTCGTTGAAGTTTTTATGTGATACTGTGTGCTCACTATTTTATTAAAAAATTAAATCATTATCACTTATCTTGTACACATTATAGTTTCTTTAGTTTATAATATTCTGTTCACTATCAGACAGTTGTGTGAAATAGGGAAGAAATCTATTTTATAAATTATTTTATTACTTACTTGGTTTACAGAAGAGCTCTATGAAAAAACTGGGGTTTTGCTGCCAAAAATGGAACATGTGAAAACTGTTTTGATGAGCTGTTTTCTTAGATATGTTATAAATATTTATGGGTGTTTCATTCACAATTACCTTAAATATTTAATGGTACTACGGAACATTGGGAACTTTAACATATAATATTGTTAACTTTTACCAACTTTAGGGAACTTTAACATATAATATTGTTAACTTTTACCAACTTTAGGGAACTTTAACATATAATATTGTTAACTTTTACCAACTTTAGGGAACTTTAACATATAATATTGTTAACTTTTACCAACTTTCAGGCTTGTGATTACACTTCCGTTCATTTTGAAAGATTAAAACATACGATGGTATCTTAATGAGCATGCTTTAAACAATTCACATAGTTTAGTTACGACAATTTCAACGCGATTTTACACAACGATAGTATTGTACATGAAAATATCTGTTCATATTAAGTTGGTTTGTATTAAATAATTATTTATAGGCTTGTCTCTACTATTTCGTTTCCGTGACTTTTTGTAGAATCTGACACGGATTATAGAAAAACCATAAACAATCAAATCTAACTTTGTATTGTAGCTAATACAGCTGTCTGTTTCCTTTATACATTTACGTATTTGTAGTTCATTGGTTAAAGTCTGATTGAAGTTCATACTGTATTTTTAAACTTCGAATAAAATGATAATTACAGAATATATATATATATATCCATACTATTAGAAACTCGTATATGTTAATGTTTAAGCTCATAATATAATAAACGAGTTACAATTTTATTTGTATTATGAGCCTTAAAACTGCACTAATGACGTCACTAATTGGTGGTAAATATGCCTAACTTATGTGAAAAAGAACACTTCTGAAAATGTCTGCAGTTTTTTGTCAATAAATTAAATTCAACGGAAACTTTTTATGTTTTTGTTGTCATTAGTTCGGATATTTATTTTAAAGTGTATAAAAATTCTACTTTAAACCCCTCTCTCCCACTTTCTCAACATCTTGATGATAAATAAGTGTTTTTTAAAATACAACACACTGAAAGCGTAAAAACGGCAACTCCTTCAAAAAAGATATTCAGATAATAAGACAAACATATCCCTTTATTGCTATTAACTGGATATGTTAAAGTAATTAACATCTCAAAACTAGGATACGTTAAAAACAGTTACAACTTAAGAACTAAAATACACTCAGGTAACAGGTAATAACTAGATATGTTGAAAATAGTTACTACTTCAGAAATAGGATATACCTAGCTGGATATGTTGAAAACGGTTATACTTGTCATAAGAAATTTTGTTAGGCCTATTATATTTTAACATTACGTACTTAATCTAGTACCTTTGGAATTTTCATGAATTAGAAGAGTGTACAACAGTAATATTTTAACCACACTTTATTTGTCATATCCATTGCCGAGGACACATTTCGCTCAATCCAGAGCTCTTCAGGCCGGTTAGGATACAACGAACACAGTAGTGGTCGGAATACTATTTATTACAACAACATTAACAGATGATATAATCACACGTGAGGCTGCTGTGAACCTTTTATAGAAAATCTTTTTTTAAAAAACTTGTTTACGCTACTAAGGAAAGCAAATGTGATGGTTAACAATTTCAATTTGTGTCTTCCCTATGTATAGATGGGTTATATTTGAATATTCTAACCTTTATGCTTCATAAGCAAAGTTGTGATCATGAACATTTTAACTTGCATCCTCTCTAAGTATGGAGATGTTAAGGTTGAATATTATAACCTACATGCTTCGTAAGAGAAGCTGTGGTGGTGAACATTTTAATTTGTATTCTAAGTATAGAGAGTATATGGTTGAATATTCTGACCTGTATGCTTCCTATGAGAAGCTGTGGTGATGAACAGGTTATGGTTGAATATTTGGACCTGCATGATTCCTAAGAGAAGCTGTGGTGGTGGACATTTTAATTTGTATCCTAAATATAGAGATATTATGGTTGAATATTTGGACCTCTATGATTCCTAAGGGATGCTGGAATGTTGAACAGTCTGGCCTCAAATGTCAGTAGAACGAAAACACTATAATGCATTGTGAAGTATAAGCATAATTACAAGAAATAAAAAACAGCCCTTTTCCAGTGGAAAACGTTTTACTATCTCGTCGTTTCACTTCCAGTTGTTCATATGATTAGCAATGTACTGATCACAATGTTATAGATTCACTATAATAACAGAAAATCCAAGTATGAATTAATTAATAACACAGAAAAAAATGTTTTCTCTCTAACTTCATTACAAAACGTTAGACAAACTGTTATTGTACAGTCGAGTATCGAAGTTGTTAACCTGGCTTTATTCAACTTTTTCTGCAACTTGTGATTTAATAATTGTTCAAACAACTACAAGACTATCTGTGTATACTCTCTAGGGGTTTGTGGGAGTAAATCTAGATAGTAGCTGGCTTTAGTAATAATAGCTTGTGGGGGTAAATCTGGATGGTAGCTGACTTTAGAAATAATAGCTTGTGGGGGTAAATCTGGATGGTAGCTGACTTTAGTAATAATAGCTTGTGGGGATAAATCTGGATGATAGCTGACTTTAGAAATAATGATATGAATACTAAAGTAACACCCTGGACATTAAAATTAAAAGACTTAAAGAGTCAAAATACAGGGCTAAAAATATATATCGAAAAGAGTATCATCCCATCTCTTTAAGTAAAAGACACCTTTCGACAGAAATGAAGTCGACATCAAGATGGAAAAACAATCAATCATAACAAAAATTGAAATATCTGTTCCTTACAGTTTATATATTTTGATGTTAATTCATGCCTGAAGTAGACACATTCAAACTGTTTAAACCCTGATCACCGTTTATTTAGTATTCAGTTGTTGCTTTCTTAATGCAAAGTTATGCAATGAGCTATCTGCACTCTGTCCATCGCAGGGAAACGAACTCCGGTTTTAGCGCTGACCTGCCAGGTGAAAAAGTGTTCACAGAAAATATATTAATGTAAAAATGGTAAAGATGTTAATAAATTCTAGTAGAAAATAATACATCAGTTTTCCCATTGTAACATTTCATACAACCCTCAAATGTAAGCTTGTATTGTACAGTTAACTCGTATATACATTGAGTTCTTAAATAAGTTCTCATCTTTTACAAGAAAAACAATTGAAGTCCATATCAAAGGACTGGAACAAAAGTCTAACACACTCATAACTGAAAAAGTCAAGCCATTAACTTATGGTATTATGTATATGTTGAATTTAATTATTTATTCTTACAGTCGAATTATGAATTTTCTAGGCAGTAGCAATAAGCACAATGACTAATCCAATTGTTTATGTAGAAAAGTGTGCAGAATTCCATTTTGTGCAAGCATAAGTATATGTTTCTTTTAACAACAATATTTCAGAGATTGGTTTAGTTATTACTTTTTCTCTATAGTGAAACAATAAGAATAAAGTTATAAAAATTTTGAATAAAAGATTTAACATTTACAGAAATGTATTTTCAACATATTTAGTTAAAAGCAAAAACAATGGTTTTCCAGGCATGTCAGAGTGCTATAAGGTAAATTGTATTTCTAAGCGTAATAGTATTTTAAGTGGCAATACAGATTTATTAAATAAGAAAAGGATTCTACGAAGAATAGGGATACAAAATTGCAGAATCATTTATTAAAATTATGATAAAATAATATTGTTACGCAAGAAGTATAACATAAAGCCAACATAAAGCCATCAGATTGTCATCCACGTATTTTATATAAATTTCCCAAAATAGATAATATATACTGTCCAATTAAACCTGCGGTTTCAAATATAGGTAAATATAATCACAAATTAGCTGATTTATAGAACATTTTAAGTTTAATGAATATATAGTTTGATAATAATTTGTATTGATTTGAGGTTGTTGTTTTTTTTATTTCGAGCAAAGCAGCTCGATGGCTATCTGCTCTAGCGATTCCTAATTTAGCAGTGATAGAATAGATTGCTTTTTTTGGGGAGATATTGATTCATTTCGTCCTCTGCTTTATCTAATTATTGATGTCACCTCAACATACCACGTCCGTCTGGTGCAAGCTGTAAATTCTTGCCCCCTGAGGTCACGACGGGAATGCTATGGGTCTCAAGCCTGCACCTTCCCCATCTGGTATTGTAGCTCGCTAGTTAGTATCCACACTTTCTTATAACATTTTTAGTATAGTGCTTTCTCCATACTATACGTTTTATATACATTATAAAATAAAAATGTATTTCTTGAAAATCTTCACATGTTTAATATACTTAGTATTTGTATTTCACAAATACTAAGCTTACAGTTTTTTGCGTCAGATATTTGGACTACCCCCATCCTTCATGACTACTTCTGTAGAGTGTGAACCATGTTTTGTTTTGTTTAGAGGGGGGAGGCTGTTTGAAACTTTAAATAACTCTTACATGAAAGATTGTACCTTAATAATTGATTCCATGACTATTTGAATACAAACTAAGTGGAATATTACCAGAGAAAAATATTCTGGTTTTATAAATTGTAGTGGAGCTTTGCCCAAACAAACTGAAGCGTTAGCTTCAGAAGCACTCAACTTTCTAATTGTTGGTTTGACAGGGAACAGGGAGACATATATTGCTTACTTATTTGTGGGTAAAGAAGATAATAAGGTTTTTGATCAATATCATTGAACGTTTTTGATAAAGCAGGTTTTCGTACATGGGGTCTTACTTATGATGAAACATCAGGAAATGTTTCCATGCTAAGAAACTTGGGCTCTAAGC